CAAAGGTATTCAAAAAGTACAGCAAGCAGCGGTGGCCCCAGTAGTAGACTCTTCGGTCTCCTGATCAGTCGCCGTGCGCTGTGGGGGTTCGAATCCCGTCCCAGGAGAAATTTTTCTCTTGGCTATGGATGTTGTGATTGTCCGTAGGTGATAGACGGTCTCTGACTGTCGAACGCGGAGGTACCAGCCGGCGGAACTCGTACGCGGAGCCAGAATGTGTGCATGTTGCATGCACACGTGTTCCCTCGCCAGAGTCCGTGCGGCGTTCCCTCTTTACCCCTATAGCCCCACGGTATCCAATGGGTGTTTAGGCCTTAGGTCTTCGTGGTAGTTTGGAGCATAAAAAAGCATACTTTGGGGCGATCTAAAAGCTATTTTAATTTTTACTCACACCGCTCTCATTTAAACGATTTGTAAAACTAAGTAGCATTACCTACTATGGCCGTGCCTGAGTTGACGTGTGATTGTCATCGCAAAGCAAAAATCATTTTTCTGAATTTCTAATATGTTCGAATTCAGCTGCTAACCCACGCCCTTCAAAAAAATTTAGGTACACTTTTACAGATGATCCACTAACTGAGAAAACTTCCTGCGAGCGCCCATGGTCAGTATGTGAAAATTCATATTATTCAGTGCAAGTGTTTATGTTTCTTTTGCAAAAATATATACTTCAGAATTTACCCTCCAGTTCGGTTTATAAATTTTAATATGGGGCCTCTGGAAGTAAGTTCTGCCACTGGTGAAAATTGAATTCACCACATTTCAGTAAATATGCACTCATAGATACCATATAAACACCAACACTATGTTGTAACTATGTTTATTTTTGTATACAGAAAAACATGAAAATATTTGGAATATGTTTGACCTTCTTAGACCTTTCATGTTAACCTAGCCAGTTTTTTTGATAGCGACTTATCAGTAATAACATTAATACTCATATAAGATTACATCTGGACTGCCCAGATACTATTATAGAGACCGGGTTACCCGCACGTATAAAGCATAGCCCTTTTGTGCACTGAAGTATTATTATTTTGTGTTTCTAGCTAATATGAAGAGAGTACTGCCAGGTATTCTGGCACTACTAATAGTGCAAAGTGCTTACTGTTTTCCACAAGTCACAGACACATCAAGTTTAGTGGTATCATCAACTGAGCCTGCCAATAATAATGGGGGTGAAATCAAAGGAAAGGTAAGTTTGTAGACTGGAGACTTGGCTTTTCCAATTAGAAGAAATAGGAAAGAAGCAAGAGAAATGTGTGTGAGCTCTTTTTTGTCAGGAAAACGACCGTACAGGTTCTTCCACAATCATGGATAACCAAATTGTTAAACGTTGACGATATGGCCATAGGGTCAAATTTAGTTTGTCATATCATGAAATGCTCGACTATTGCATACAATGGTCAATTTTACGATATGGCCACGACATAGACCCTGCTAAACCCATTAATTTTACGGCATATTTTTATATATTTGTCAGGAAGAGAAGCCAGTTGTACCAAAAATCTACGAAATGAACATTAACACCAATGTGTCCAACCGCTACGCCAAGACGCAGATAGCTAGTAAAGTAAAAAACCTGGACAAATCACCCAACGAAGTGGAGTTTTCCGTTGTTACACCTGATCGGGCTTTTATTTCCGGGTTCGTAATGGAGATTGACGGAAAAAGCTACAAGGCGTATGTCCAGGAGAAACAAGAGGCCAAGAAGACGTATGATGAGGTACGTACGCAAATCTTATTAGAGAAAATTATCATTATATAAGGCCTTCTACGCTGGGTAATGTACTTCAAGATTTAAATTTCGCGCTTTACTTGGTAATTTCATATTGCGGATTTGTAACTAGAGACCTGTTACCTCAATTATGGATTATTTCGCGACTGACCAACGCACCAGGATTGTGAAAACGTAGTTTGAAAATTCATTAAATAAAAATTGCTGTGGTGGATCTGAAAATGCTCAGGACAATCAGTACAGCTGATAGAAAGTAACAATTTTGGATTTTTTGTTAAATATATTATTCTATGATAAAAATAAATTTGCCGGCAGTCGGAAAGCTGAGATTCATTGTAAAGATTTCCTGAGAGATAACATTTCGTTTTGCTCAACATAACTTTCAAAATCCACTTCTGCGTAATTTCAATCTTTTTATAATAATTATTCATGACTCCCACCATGCTAAGATTCCGTAAGATAGTAATGATTGAACAAGGGCATGATATATCATGAGTAGATATTTTTCGCTTAAAAATCTGCTGAAATATTGACTTTCGAATAAGGTATCTTAATTTTCTTACTAACTTTTCAATATGTTTATTCCATCTTAGATGGTTATCTATGAATACCACTAGGTATTTGAACTTATTAACCCATTGTATGTTCTACAGCTATTTAACTTTTTAATTTGGAGTTGATTAAAATTTGGGGAAGATCTGTTGTCACAAGAAAATGTAATAGAGTATGTTTTGTTGAATTGACTGTTAAATCCTTCCGTGAAGAAATTTTTAAACCTTTCGAAATCTAATACAATTTTTGTCTGAGTAAATAATTGCCGTATCGTCTGCAAAACCAATAATTTTCTCCTTCGTTGTTTAATTTAAAAAGGTCATTAATATATACGGTTCCTTGTGGAAACTTCGCATCTAACAATCATATTTCACTCGGTGTACTGTTGATGTCCACACATTGTGTCCTGCTTTCCATGAGTTGATAAGTGACTCCACGAATCGTAAATTTTGCAAGGTTCTTAATAATTTTTGATGTGTAATACTATCGAATGCTTTGGTTAGTCTACAAGAAGGCATGCTGTTGATTTATTATTATCAACGTACTTATAAATTTTGGTTTGTTAACTGAATAAGTGCATCTTGACTTGCTTTTGCTTCCTGGAATCCATATTGCTCTTCAGATATGAGGTTGTATTTTCCAATAAAATCTGAAGAGCGTTTCTTAAGAATTTTTTTCGAAAATTTTGAAAAGTTTTGTCAATACTGAAATTGGGCGATAATAACAAGGTGTCTGTTTATCTGCAGATTTAAATACAGGTTTTATTATTGCCTTTTTTAATTGGGCCGGGAACATTCTCTTTCCATGCAGGTGTTTATAGATATGCTAATACTTTAGAAATTTTATAATTTATTTGTTTCAGAATGTATGCACTTATATATCAGTCGCTTTATGATATGTTCAATCTCGTATTGATCGGACTGTGTCAGATACAGGGAATTTTGCAATATATGGTTTTTCGTATATATAAGTTGTGATTGTGAAATATTTACAAAATTCATTGCCTGTTTCATTATCGCTTTTTGTAAGTCCCCCATTTTCTTTTTGTACAGCAGGAATTTTTTGGCATTTTTTGAGAATGTTGCATTTTTTCTATGAAATGCCACACTTTGGCCGAAGAATTTTGAAGTTTGTCAACTTCATTTTAAAAAAATTTAATTTAGCCTCTTTATAATTGTGGTTAATTTATTTCTGTATAGTTTAAATTCATTTAGAAGTTCTAAATCGTGTGGAAATTGTTTTGTTTCTCTATACAGCTTAATATTTCTGTTAACGGATGTTATAATTCCATTCGATATTCATGGCTGCCTTTTAATATTCTTTCGTGGAATCTTTATCCGATTTGTACATGAATTTATATGTTGTTTGAAGCTGTAAGGTAAAAAGATCAAATGCCGTTTCAGGATCATCGTGATTATACCTGTATATCTCTGACCAGTTACGTCTACACAATCTTACTAATTAAGCCATATGTGAAATACTATATATTGCATAATAGGAAGTGTTTACTTAAAACATGGCAAAACTTTAAGCTATATTTTCAAATAGAAAGCATCAGGGTCTATTTATAAGCGGGGCTTTAATACATTTATTCTGAAATATTTAATGCAAAAACTTTGAAATTTGAGTTATTTTCAAGGACCTGCTTCTGGACCTTGACCCTCTATCTCTTTGAAAATAGATATTTTGAAAGTTCACGGTTTGCCATTAAAAGATTGCATATGTATTTCAGTGTCTATATATTGAAATTGGTTAATTCCAAAGGGTCCAAAACCAAAAAATGTATTACAGACCTTAGGAAGATATTATTAGACAAGATTTGCATTATGAGCATTTGTATTTTCCTTATTTTAGGCAGTTGCAAGTGGTAGGGGCCGCAGCACATGTGCAAGGAAGCGCCAGAGACTCCATAGATTCACAGTTTCAGTTAATGTAGAACCACAAAGCAAAGCAGTGTTCTACCTACAATATGAAGAGCTCCTCCAAAGGCAGAATGGAAAATACGAAAATTGTTATAATATCCATCTGGACAACCCGTTAAGAACATGAACGTCGAGGTTAGATATTCTCGATGTTTCATAATTTCTCAATTTTACTGAGATTGCCGAAAAAACAAACAGTAGCACATACTTTGGAAAAAAATTTCAAGGCTTGTTAGTGGATTATTAGATATACAGGGTGTTCTTAAAGTTGTTGAAATAAAAAAAGCTGGAATGCACTGAAACATCAGCGAAAAACAAAAAAGTTTGAGAAACGTAGTCACATGTTGCTTATCAATATTTTTCAATGTTGTCATCGCTAGATTTAAAAACGCACACAGAAATTAAGTTCGTAATTGTCAAGTAAAGACTCTGGTGTTATAGTTACAAGGTAACTATGCTTATCTTACCCAGAGCGATACACCGTGTAAGGTCTCAACTTTGAAAACAACCTGTAAATCGTGATTGTCAAGTAAAATTGATGATTGGTGTCATATTTTTGCATTTATTCATCTCTGTATTACGTTTGTTGTTTGAGAATGTATATTTTTTGCAGGTCCACATAGACGAATCAAGACCACTGAAATTCGTAGAAACCCTGCATTGCGTTCAGGAAATGAAATATCAACCAAGGAAAAATGAAAATCTTTTACCGAACGCGAAATAGATCCAGTGAACGAAACATCAGCAGTAGTGTCGTTCCAACCTGACGTGGAAAAGGCAGAAGGAATATGCAAGGGAGCTTGGTACTGAGAAAGATAACGGCTTGGCTGGACAATTTATCGTACAATATGATGTGGAAAGGGATCCCTCTGGAGGAGAAGTAAGTAAAACAGCTGAAAGATAGGCATTATTATAAAAGAAAATTTAATGTCATTCAAATGGATGAAAACAAAGAACAATCGTGGACATGTCCGCATAAAGGAACAGGAGCCGAAATTGAAGGATTGATAACCCGAGCGACGTGCTTTTTTACAAAATAGTAACTAGCTTACTTACTAGCTACAGTCCAAGTTGTCAACTCGGAGGTATCTCCGTGAAAACCGTGATTCGAATGAATGCTAGCGAAAATTTAGCATGCTTATAAACGTTTTGGTCGGAGCGAACGCCGAAGGCTCTCCCTCGATCGCAAAAAAGGCCCTGGGCACTCTTGCGTACAAAATGACTATTTTTGATTTCAATGAATTTAGTTACAACTAAGCAGTCATGTTTGAAACAGCTCTGAAAGACTTTGCGCTCAAGCTGAACTTTTATTTTCACCTTTTTTGTGAACACTTACTTACTTCAATTTCAGGTTCTGGTAGATGGCGGGCATTTCGTCCACTTTTTCGCCCCCAGCGAAGTAAAACCCCTCCGAAGATGGTGATCTTTGTCCTGGACACCAGTGGAAGCATGAGCGGTATCAGAATTGAACAGTTGAAAACAGGCCATGAACCGAATCCTATCCGAGCTCCATGAAAATGATGTGTTCAGTATTATTGACTTTAACGATAATGCCAAGGTTTGGAACGTAGACAAAGTGGCTGTACAACATGAGACTGCCTCTGAATATCAACCTTTCTGGTACAGGAATGAGGACGAGTCCAAGCAGATCTTCAAAAACAGGACTGTAAGTTAGCCCCAAATCAATACAATAAAAATACCATAATAAAAACTCGCTTTTATTAACTGTTAGTAAAGTGAACTAATAATGTAAAATATTTTTTCTGATTGGAAATATTTGAACTATACAGGGTTATCCAAATTAAGTGTCCACCATTAGTAACTTTGTTATTAGTGAAAATACAAAGTTGTTGAATTAGCAAACTAGTAGCATTTTTAACGCTGGTAAAAATGAGAAATAAAAAAAAAACAATTGAGAGTCGTTATTTTGATTTTTTTCAGTAAAATAACATTTTTTTAAATGGAAACCCCTGTATATTATATTTTTTTCTGTTAAAGCATCAAATTTTAAACAAAAAAGTTCATAATGACTTTTCCGCTAAAGTCAAAAATAAAGTCAAAATAACGATAAATATTTTTAATTATTTGCAGTATTATAATATTAAGACGGCTATGAAAACAACATGGAGTTCGCGATTTGACAGCATTAAGATAAGCGACAAATTGTTAACTGGACATACTCGCAACTAGAAGGCTTTGGAAAACAATGATAAAATCAAATAATGTCAAACATTAGTGTAAATACTTGTTTATAAGCTTTATTGTGTCATTAATTTAAAGAAAAATGTTCTCCCATGAAGAAAAGTGTGATATGTTAGAATGCTATTTAGTGTGCAGAAAATCCTCCTTGAGAGCAAGAGAATACTACAGTGAATTATATCCCGCTCGCATTCAACCGTATGAACGATATTTTCTGAGACTTTATCGAAAATTTAGGGGCAACGAAAATGTTTTTGCTAAAACAAGGGCAAAAAAAGAATTCATAATAAGCGAGGCCACGGAAATTGCAGTTATTGGATATTTTGAAGCTTATCGTGAGACTTCAATAGCAGATATTCTCAAGGACTCTAATTTCAGTTATGGTACTGTTCAAAGGATTTTAAAAAAATACAAATTTATTCCGTATAAGTACCGACCAGTTCAAACGCTTTTGGCAGGGGATCCAGAGAGAAGACTTGTTTTTTGCCGTTGGTATCTTAGCTTCTGTCGCCAAAATGTAAATAACTTTCGTTACCTTTTATGGACAGATGAATCAAATTTTTCAAATTCTGGAATGTTTAATAGAAAAAACCACCATTACTGGTCAAGAGAAAATCTTTTGTTAGTACATCCAAGAGGCCCACAAGTCCGTTTCAGTTTCAACGTTTGGTGCGGTATAATTGGTTCAAAAATTGTTGGCCCGTTCTTTTATGAGGGAACCCTAACTGGTGAAAGATATGTGGAATTTATGTCAGAAATTCTGACTAATTTCTTAGACGAATTGGATCTTATAAGTAGACATCATCTGCATTTTCAGCAAGATGGCGCACCTGCCCACAACTCCAGAGGTACTTATCATTTTCTAAGTACTACTTTAATGATCAGTGGATAGGAACAAATGGCCCAATACAGTGGCCTCCCAGATCACCAGATCTAAACCCACTTGATTACTTCTTGTGGGGTTACTTAAAGAACCAAATTTACAAGCGAAGGTACGATAACCTTGACGCGTTAAAGACTGCAGTTAGGGAAAAGATAACCCAGATAGATGGTAGGACCATACTTAAGACAGTTCGAGCAGTTGAAAAACGTGCCCAAAAATGTATTGAAGAACAAGGTGGTGTTTTCGAGCATCTTCTTTAAAAAAATTGTTATTGTATTTTGTAAGATTATAAGTTGATGTTGAAAATAAAGTTTGTCGATACAATTTAATTGTTTCAGATTGGAGGCCATAACTTCAACAATTTGTAACCTAGGAGAAAAGTTATTGTAAGCTTTTTTGTTTAAAATTTGATGCTTCAACAGAAAAAAATATAATATACAGGGGTTTCCATTTAAAAAAATGTTATTTTACTGAAAAAATCAAAATAACGACTCTCAATTGTTTTTTTTTATTTCTCATTTTTACCAGCGTTAAAAATGCTACTAGTTTGCTAATTCAAACAACTTTGTATTTTCACTAATAACAAAGTTACTAATGGTGGACACTTAATTTGGATAACCCTGTATAAAGCTCCTTCATCTCAACTTTCCAAATGAAAAAGGTATTATATCCTTTTTACATGTTGCTGTCCAAACGTAACACGCTTTTATTTGAAAACTTGAGCTGAAGGAGCTTCATTATAGTTTAAACATTTCCAATCAGAAAAATTATTTTTCAATTTTTGGCTCACTTTATTAACAGCTCAATGAAAGCTTGTTTCTAAAATGCATTTTTTCTTTACTTTTCACTTTTTACTATTTATTGTGAGTTTTGTAATTTCTATATAATTTTCATATATTTAATTCATAGAGCCCCATAATTTAGTTTAGATAATTTAAACGTATAACGATAAATCGCCATATCGGATTCAGAATAACGCCACGCTGGTTATCATGTTTCCCTCATCAAGCCCCTTCATTTTATATCTATATCATAAGGGTTACTACTGAAATGATGCATCGCCATTTTGTAGTATCTGCCATAATTTTAGCTTATATATCACTGCTTCAAAATTCAGTTCCAAGATTTGTCCCATACATCCATACTAGCTTGTAAAAACAGCAGGATTTTCAGTACCGAATCGGCTATTTTTGAAGTAGAATAAATACATGGAACCTTTTTGGAAAGCGCTGTATAGATAGAATAAAATTTGTTTGCATTTATTTCAGCAACAACCCATTCCATCTCCGTATCCAGCAAATAAAGCCAATGTGCAAAAAGGAAACAAGTAGTGGAGAAGCTTCAAGCAGATGGTAGTACAAATATAATGGACGCTCTCAAAACAGCACTTACTATAATTAACAAGAATCACGAAGAAAGCAAGAGGAATCAGCCCATCATTGTCTTCCTGACAGACGGTGAAGCAACAAGTGGAGAAACAAATAACGAGAATATCATCAGTACAGTAAGTGAAATTCAGTTGTTTTATATAATTGAACCACCGCGTAGGCCCGAGGCTTAGATATCTGTGGGTACCAAAAGCCTATGGGAGATACAGATGAAAGGGGGACGCCAGAAGGATTCTAGCGAGGAACATGTGTGCACGTGACATGCACATACAGGTATTCTGGCCCCACCTATAAGATGTCATTTTGCAGACTAGCTAGTTTTTAGAGCGCAAATAGTCATTCCAGGATTGCTCACTAGGATCGTTGTGAACGTCTATCTATGGAGGAATCACTCAACTAAACTACACGCATTATTGGTTGCATATGTTTTGTGAGCGCGAGTGATCCGTGTCTGTAGTTTTTATATCTGAGAAGAAAGTTGGTTGAATAGCAAGATCGCGTCTGGATAATTATTTGTATTCAAATCATTACTGAATATGCTGCCAATGAAGTATATCTATTAGCTGTGCCCAACGGGTTATTTATATGTTGTGCTTTCTGAAGAGAAAGTTATAAATTACGAAAAATTGAGGAGAATTACGGGAAATCATCACCGCGCCCGCGTTGTGTGTAGTTACTGCTAGCATGTATATGGCTTGTAATTCGACAGTGTACAGTGAATATAATTATTTCTCATATCTCACATTTTTGAAATTTAGCAAATTTGTATATGTAGTTTCCAGAATGAATAAGAGAAAGCAGCCACAACTAATTTCTAGCTTTGAATCCCAATTAAGTGTATTTGAAACAAGAATCTAAGGGAAATATCATCAACATATTCAACTGACAGCTTAGACCTACAGTAATGCCACCTCTGAAGCAGATTTTACATCACATTAGAGCCAAACATTGATAACTGAAGCCACATGACGTTTAGGCAACACGTACAACTAAGTGCTAAGTTAACATCTTGTAGAAAAACCTACATAATGTCAAAGAAAACCAGTATAATGTCAAAAAAACGATATAACTTTTCAACCCGTGCGGGTTCATCCAAAAGGGCCCGCCAAAAAAATATCGACCGTTATTTTGTATTTGGTAGAGGACCCGAGTGTCAGAATGAAAATTCTGAGGAGGACCTAAAATTCGCTTTTGACGATTCAGAAGCTCCTAATCATTTTCGGGAATTTCTTGTAGGGGTTGAATGTTGGAGTATGGGAGTAGTAGAGGATAGGGAGTGGTAGATGTAACGTCTTCCGTATTTGTCAAAGACTATCATTAGCTTCTCATCCCGGTAACTACGGGGAATTTAAATGATGTTCTGATAATTCGAAATAACTTTCCAAACGGTGGCGTTGCGTGCATAGAGCGATGCTACAGGAGAAATATTTATATATACTAAGTGACATATAAATCCGAACACCCAGTTTAAATGGTTTTATTTTAATAAAATTTTGTATAAGTACTTATTGAAGCATAATAAGTAAATGATAAAAATTTCAAAATGATTGCACTGCTTTAAAGCCCTTTGACCTTTAATAATGTGTGGATGCACCCTGATGTGCTACGCATTCTCCAACGCGCCTAGGCATGCTTCTGATCAGGTGGTCAATGTCGTCCTGTGGTATCTCATTCCAGGCAACCACCAACTCCTCTCGAAGTGTTTCTAGAGTCTGAGGAGGACGTTGCAAATTGAGCAATCTCCTACCCATCATATCCCACACGTGCTCAATTGGGGATAAGTCGGAAGATCTTGGTGGCCATGGTAACAATGTGACATCATTATGTTGAAAGAAGTCTATTGTGACTCTTGCAACATGTGGTCGGGCATTATCTTGTTGGAAAGTTGGATCTGCCAGGGTGTCAAGATAGGGTAAAAGATGGGGTTCTAGAACTTCGTGGATATAACGCTGCGCGTTCATGTTACCTCTGATGAAGATTAAAGGTGACCTGGAACCATAAGCTATAGCACCCCAAACCATAACTCCAACAGTGTGATGAACATGTCTTTCAACAAAAAACTGTGGATTCCTCCTTTCACCACGTCGCCTTCTAACCCTGGCACGACCATCGTGCATGCCTAAACAAATCGAGACTCGTCACTAAAGACAATACTGTTCCATTCCTGATCCCAGAGTGACCGTTGTCTGCACCACTCAAGGCGATTACGTCGGTGTTCTCGAGTTAAAGGGAGGACCCAGTGTGGCCGGTATGAAAACAAGCCAAAACTTCTCATTCGTCGGTAAACACTTCGCATGCCAATAGGTCTTCCGTGTTCTGCAAACCATTCATTTGCAATGGACCTGGTAGTGGAGAAACGGTCCCTTAAGGCCAATAATCTTAGGCGGCGATCTTCACGGTCTGTTGTTCTACGGCGGCGTCCATTGCCCCTTGCTCTTTGCGTACGGCGTTCTCGAAGCCATGCCTGACAACACCTAACCACATGTCTACACTTCTTTGCACTCTAACTGCAATTGCCCGAAAAGATAGTCCAGCTTCCCGAAGTCCCACTATACGGCCCCTATCAAACTCACTAAGTTGACGAAATCGTACAGGTCTCCGTACTCTAGGCATCGTAACCGATCGTAAAGGATGTCAAGAACCAAAATCCGCCAACGTTGATTCTTTACTGCGGCTGAAATATTCATTTTTAGAGCGTTAGTGAATTAAAAAAAGCAGTATAAAAATCGGAATGTCCAACTGATAAGGCTGAAAATTTTTTCACTTGTTATTTACAGTAAGATAAATACATTCACCAACTTTTATTAAAATAAAAGCATTTAAACTGAGTGTTAGGATTTATATGTCACTTAGTATATTACAGCAATATATATAGGAGTACCACTTTAGCGTTGTGCGATGCTTTTGTAAAATATGAGTGTTTTTATATCTACACATATATTTTTTCGACGTTCATGATCCTTGAGCGTACCACCCATTTCGCCTTACCTTTAATTTGTGTTACCCCGTCTATGATGGTTCTCTGAATATTTCGTCAAGTAGATTGACTCAGCACATATGACGCACTTATATACAACAGACACGGACTGTCAAACCAACATTAAGGAGAAACACGGAGTTGTGTGGTGCAGATATCTTCAAAAAACAGCAAACTTCTGAACCGAAGTTCAAATATTATCGAGTTCAATTAAACTTCCATCGTTTAGGTAGTCGTAGATTTTGAAAATGGATTCAGAGGTGGCGGAAATAAAATCGCTGGAACATAGGGTTACAACGTTCCAAGGATTCCTGCTCATTATCAGACATTGTTTGGAGAGGATGGAAATTTAGGTTGGAACCTGTATGCGGTAAATGGTTATAAATGGTTGCATATTTGGTGTCAGTCAAAGACCTTCTATTATTAAGAAGCTGCTGATCTCAATGATACTATCCAGCTATTAGACATAATAAGTCAGATATATTTCGCTACATCTTTGCTTGAAATCCTCCAACGAAGGTGTAGGAAGTATGAGTCAATCTACTTGACCTGTTTTTGGACACAGGTTAAGAAATAAAAGAGGGTATTTTAAAACACCACTACGAGCTCCTGAAGATTCCTAGAATAGTGTCAAGTGAAAACTTGATAGTTAAAGTGAAGACATCTTAAAAATATATAAAAATTCTACTTTTGTAGACCTTGTAAGCTCTTACGATTTGTTATCAGCGGATAAATAATATTTAAGTGTAGTTTATTAAGAACCCTAAACTTTCCAGATAACGGAACTGAACAGCGGCAAAACTCCTCTATTTTCCCTCTCTTTTGGAGATGGTGCTGATCGTTCCTTCCTCCAAAAAATCTCCCTGAAGAACAATGGTTTCGCAAGGCACATCTATGAAGGTGCAGATGCCTCCTTGCAATTGGAGGAGTTCTATAAGAGCATCTCGTCTCCGCTACTGTCCGACGTGAAGTTCAAGTATGTGGATAAAGTTAAAGAAGTTACCAAGACGCGCTATCCAATTTTATTCCATGGAGGAGAGATCGTGGTCGCTGGGCAGATAGGTAAGGCTTGATGCAGTTTAATCAACAGAAACTGATCAAAATGGTTACACGCTGTCAGATTGGAAGGGTTTTCAAACAGTGGACGAGTCTTCGAGACTGCAAGGTCATTCCCTATGGTTTTATATCCAGATACAGGGTGTTTCAGAACTATGGAATCAAACTTGTAGGGGTGGTTCAGTGTAACAGTAGAAAACATTTGAGTACAGGGACCCATATACGGCGCTTGTGTGTTGTTATCTTTAAAAACGATAAGAGAGATTGTTTTTTGTAGCTGCATTCCATATTGTCTTAGTCGTGCTATCGTATTTGTGAAGTTTGCAAGAATCGTGTGCGACGTTTAAATCGGTGTATTCAGGTTGAAGGAAGACATTTTGAACAATTGTTGTGATGATATCATGTACAAAAAGCAAAAATTAAATGCATTAAATCCTATTTAGGCAATTCATCAGCTTTCTAAATTTTAACGCGTCTTAGGGCCGTAGTGCCGTAGTGACACTTTTCCGGATATGGGTCCCTATACTCAAATGTTTTCTACTGTTGAAGTTTTCCATTAGTTCTGAAACACCATGTATATACTCCAGATTTGCCACATTTTCCACTTGAATAGCGCGAATTAATAATCTCATATAGTCCCATAGGCAAGTTAGTGTACAGTAACCTTCGAAGAGATCATTGGAACCTTGCAGTCTAGCTAAATGTAGTAATTTTGAATGTTTTTGTTTGTGAATCATGAAACCACTATGTGATTTACAACTAATAAGTGTACTGTTTTTTTTTAAATCATTTTATTCCAGACCCAGGTTTTGCTCCACAACCAATTGAAGCTAAGGGATTTGAAGGTCCTGTCATTTTAACACCCCCGAAAGAGATCACAGCAGCTCCTGGTAGTCTCGAACGTCTTTGGGCATATTTGACCTTGAAACAGGTAT